TTTTTGAGTTCTTTGTATATTGTCTATAATAATCCTTTGTCTGAGGAAGAACTGGCAAACATTTTTCCCCACATTGGGGGTTGTCTCTTCACTCTGTTGGTGGTTTTTCTTGCTATACAAAAGATTTTTCATAAGATGAGATCCCCCAAATGCAGGACCATTTTGTATCTGTATATTCAAAATAGTTAGGATAGTTATACAGCTACTTTCTCTTAATCCAATGAATAGAAATATTTGTTCTAATAGTGTTTGTGGGCAGGATATCATGTCTGCATCTTGTATAATGAATAACCACTAAGAAGACAACCATATGCAATGTATCAATTATTGAAACTGTCCTACTAATCAGTTTTGAAGCTGTCCCATTGCTATTTGTTTCTCAGTAAAATTATTATTATTTTTAATTAATTTATTTATTTATGTGTGTGTGTGTGTCCAACTCAGCCCACCAGGGGGCGGGGCTGGCTGGCATGTGGTGCTGGGGAATTGAACCGTAGTCCCTGTGCTTTGCTAAGCTTGTTCTAAGTAGGTGCTTTAGACCACTGAGCCATCTCACCAGCCCCTCAGTAAAATTATTAAAAAAAAGTTGAGATCCCATTTGTTGATTCTTTGTGATAGTTCTTGTGTGGTTGTGGTTTTATTCATAAAATATTTCTTATGCCATTATCTTGAAGAGTTTTATATATTATATCTTCCAGCAAATTTAACATTTTTGTTTTAATATTTAGACCTTTGATCCATTTTGCATTTGGTTTAGTGAATTGTGGAAGATACGGGTTCAATTTTAATCTTCAGCATGGGCAAAGCCAGTTTTTCCGGCACCATTTATTAAAGAAGCTGTCTTTCTTCCAGTGAATAAATTTGGCACCTTTTTCAAAGGTAAGGTGGCTGAGTCTGTCTGAGCATGGTTCTATATCTTCTGTTCTGTTCCACTGAGCTTCAGATTTTTTAAAATTAGTACTACACTTTTTAAAAAAATTAGAGTAGCTTTATAGTATAATTTCAAGTCAGGGATGGTGATGCCCCCTGCCTTGGCTTTGCTCAGAATTGCCTTTGCTCAACACCTTTGCTATTCTAGGTTTCTTCTGGTTTCAAATGAATTTTAGGATTGTTTTCTTTTTCTTTTCTTTTCTCCTCCTCCTCCTCCTCCTCCTCCTCCTCCTCCTCCTCCT